AGGGGCAGCAGTTGCTGATCGGTTGGTAAGGTGTATGAGTCTAGCAGCAGCATTCATAATAGACTGAAGGGGGGATAGCCTGTGTAACGGTAGACCAGTGAGGAGGGAGTTGCAGTAATCAAGGCGGGATATAACTAAGGCGTGGATAAGTTGTTTTGTGGTGTCATTGGTCAGGAAGGGGAGGATTTTGGAAATGTTCCGAAGGTTGAGGCGGCAGAAATTAGCCAGTGAGTGGATGTGGGGCCCAAAGGAGAGGTCAGAGTCTAGGATGAGGGGAAGGACCAATGGTTGTGCTGTTGATCTTAACGGTAAAGTCGTGAGTGGGGGATCGGGGAGGAGAAAATATTACAAGTTTTTCAGAAAGATTGAGTTTGAGGTAGTGATGTGACATCCATGCTTATATGTCGCTTAGTAGATTTGTGATACGTGAGGAGATTGAGGGGGTGAGCTGGGGAGTGTGGAGAGATAGATCTGGGTGTTATCAGCATAGAGGTGGTATTGGAAGCCATGGGTGGTTATCAATTGGCCAAGGGAGGAGGTATAAAGAGAGAAAAGGAGGGGCCCAAGAACAGAACCTTGGGGTACCCCAACAGAAAGGGGAAGAGGAGTGGAGGAGGAGGAGTTGTATGTGACACTGAAAGTGCGCTGAGAAAGGTAAGAGGAGAACCAGGAGAGAGCAGAGTCACGGAGGCCGATGGAGTGGAGTTAACTGAGGAGGAGTGGGTGGTCGAGTGTGTCAAAGGCAGCGGAAAGGTCAAGAATAATTTTAAAATATTGTTTTAATGAAAAGAAAAAAAAATTGTCAAAGAAAATATTTATAGAAAGGATATTACAAAACAGACAATGAGCAATAGTAAAATAAACAGGATTGGGGCCCTATTCACTCCAGAACACGGTGCAGGAAAGCTGCATTCCGCGCTCGGCTCCCTGCACTGTGTTCAAAATGCACTGGGTGTGTGATCTGCTGCAGGTGTCAATGCATTTCTGATTACACCCCAAACACAGATTGTATATGCAGTCCATTTTCCTGCATCGGATCACATGATACTGCAGTACCATGTGATTCGGTTGCAGTGCTTTTTTTAAAAGTAGTCAAGTGTGAACCTGTCCTTAACCCCTTGGTGCCGGCGCCTCCTAGCCCTTTAAGGGTTTCAGAAGCTGGGAGGCGGGGCTGGGTTTTAAGGTCATGTGACCGCTGTGATTCGCTGTCAGAGCGGTCACATGATCGGGAAAGGTCCTGATCGAAAGAGGAGATCGGGACCTTTCCGTGAGTACCTGACATGTGCTGAGAGCGCACAGGGCACGCGCTCTCAGCACATATGTTTTTCTTAATTGCACGCAAGACCCAGACTCCAGGAGGCCGCAGATTTGCGTGCGGGCCGGTGCCAAGAGGTTAAAGTGAAAAGTACTTATCAAAAATTACCTGGTCTTTAGCACCATGCAGAATCAAATCTTACATTTCAGTCATTGCCTTTCATAGCTTACCTTCATAGGTAAGTTGGTTGCAAATGCAGCCATCTCTTCTTGTCCTGGAAAAAAGATGTTTACAGAAATAACACAACCAATCAAAGGGTCTGAGGATTGTTCTATAGGGGTGTAGAAGTGTTTTGTCGGGTTCCAGCAAACCTTAATGCCAACTACTCAAACTGTCTCTATGGGGTTGATTTACTATAGGCAAGTAGACTGTGCAGTTGCACTCATTTTCCCTAGGGTTTAATGAATGTGGTTAAGCTCTTCTGTTTTCCATCTTCCAATAATGTACAAGAAAAATTGCTGTTTTTTTTAATAAATTTTTCTTGCACCTGATTGAGTAATCTTTATGAAGTGAAGTTTCGCCACATTCGCTAAACTCTGGGAAAATGCACAGTCAATTTGCCTTTAGTAAATTACCACCTATGTATCCAGATGACAGGGCTTTACAATTGGAGAAACAAAATATTATCGAGCAGGATGAAATGACTATGAAATTGACCAAAACATGATATAAATCAGAAGCATTAGGAAATCTAGTATGCATCTTCCATACATTATTGTTATCACTTTTTATGAAGATATCTCTGTTACAACTGGAATTATGGAATATGAACCAGAACTGGGCTTTGGTACCGAGACAGAATGTATATTTTCTAAATCCATCTAGAGTGTCTTATGACTATTTTTGAAAGGGCCTTTAGAAGCCTCTTACAGACTAATTGAGGTTATATGACACCCTGCATTTCATCTAACTTGCTTTTCAGTCAATTTTTTTTATTGTGTTTGTTTGTTAAATGCCTTTTCTCCTTAGCACAGGCATCAGATTTAACCAGTTGCCACCCTGTCTATTATCAAATTATGGCTGGGCAGGACACTTATCATTCCAGGTGGACGTCATATGACATCCCCCCTGGAACACATCTCTCATGCGCCCAACGGGCTGTGTTACAGGGTGATCTGTCACCCACTGTGTCCATCAAACACAGCTGATGACTGATCAGTGTACTGGCTGCTGCTGGTACTATGTGATTGCTGTGGCCAATCACAGCAGATAACATGACAATTGTACACAGTGCATGGCGTTCATTCAAGACATCAATTGTGTAGCATTGTGTTGATCTCTGTGATTGGTCACGGTGATCAGATTGTATAGACAGGGCCAATCACAGCCCATCTGTAGCATGTGATTAGCTGTGGCCAATCACAGCTAACAACAATAGTACATACTGAATGAATCCACTTCATTCAGTAAAAATGATTGCTTATACCAGTGAAATATGATGACACTGTACTGCACTGATGACAGTATATTAAAAAAAAGTGAAAAAAAGCATTTTTTCATAATGCCTTCATTTTAAAAAAAAGTGCTAAAAAAATTACAACTTCAAAAAACTCACCATGCCTCTTACTAAATACTTTGGGCTGTCACCTTTCCAAAAAGGGGTCATTTGTACTGTCCTGGTGTTTTCGGGCCTCAACAAATCAGATAGGCCATAAGTACATCAGGATTCATAAATTTTCAGGACTCTATAACATTCCTAAAGGCTAAATAATATACACTAATTTGGGTTATTTTGGGTACGTTTGGCTTAAACTTATGAAGAAAGATTTTTTTATTTGCAAAATTTTATAACAGAAACCAAGAAAAACATGGGGGTTTTTTTTCCAAAATTTTCAGTCTTTTTTAATTTTTTTAGCAAACAATAAAAAAAAACCAGTGGTGATTAAATACCACCAAAAGAAAGATCTATTTGTGAGATACAAATGCTAAAAAATATGGGTACAGTGTTGCATGACAGTGCAATTGTCGTGAAAAGTGCAACAGTGCTGAAAGCTGAAAATTGGCCTGGGCATGAAGGGGGTTGAAGTGCCTAGTATTGAAGTAGATAAATCTGTTTTTGTTATTGACTTGTGAATTTTGAAGAAATGAGGGTGGACTATGTGCAATATGACATCTCCATTCTATCACACAATTTCAAGTCATCAAACCTCTTTATCAGCATGGGCTAGGGTGGTAAGTCTGGTGTTAAGGTAGATAATTTGTGTGTGCAATGAGAGGGGTGGGGTGAGGTAAATTTTGGGTGTTCCAATGAGAGGGGGTGAATCTGAGATGTGCTGTGATGGAGGTAGCTCTTAGGTGTGTAATGAGGGGGGTGAGATAAAGTGAGCAGTGAGAGGGGTAAGGTAAATTTGGGTCGTATAGTGAGAGATGCTGAGTAAATTGAAGGTGGGCATATATCAATATCTTGGGTGCTTTGATAATTCCTTGAGGTAATTCGTGGGTGTCTAATCAGAGGGGTGAGGTTCACTTGGGGTATGTAGTGACAGTGGTGATCTTGGATGTGCAGTTAGAGGGGATGAAGCTTAAATGTACAGTAATGTGGGTAAATCTGAAATGTACAGAGAAAGGAGAGGTAAATATGGGGGGGGGGGGGTGAGATTAATTCAAAATGCAGTGAGATGAGTGAGGTAAATCTGAGGTGTGCAATGAGAGGCATGAGGTGAATTTGGACTTTGCGGTAAGAAGTGTGAGATATATTTGGGGTGTGCAGTGACAGAGGTCAGTTAAAGCAGACCTTCACTCAAAAGTCAAAGGACCAGCCATTCCACCCCTGCCCCTAATATATTTAAGTTTTTGTAAATGAAGTTGGTACCTTTTTGACAGGTACCTGCTCCCACATCTTCAATTCTCATGTTGGTAAGAATGGCTTCACTCTTCCCTCACCCTCCCTGCCTACAGCTTCCCGAGACATGTCACACGTGTCAATGCATGACATGTTGAACCAGTGTCAATGCTCTACAGGATCTTGCAGATGCACAGTGAAGAGCCATCTCTAATTCCTCAGAAAACGTCAGCCGGTTCCCAAAGCCAAGATGGCAGCAACAAGGACCCACAGCACCAGAGAAGAATCAGCTGCAGGAGGACAGCACCAGACTCTATGGACTGATTTTTAAAAGTTAGCAGCTACAGTATTTGTAGCTGCTGTTTTTTCTTTAAAAAATGGGTGAAGTTCCTCTTTAATGCAGAACCAAAGGCAGTTTATATTTATCTTTTTTTTTAATTTAAATATTTATTAATTTTTCAGATAAACACATTATACAAACATACTCATTAAAACCTTAGCATATTATCAAAACAATTATCTTTTCATTCCTTCCCCACCCCCATTCCCCCCCTCCCCCTACCTATATACCACCCATCCCCCCCCCATCCAATCCCTGACCCCTTCTGCTCTGCATTTTCCTGTTAATTTCTGGAGATTGTAATCCCTATAAAAGAAGAACAAAATACGTTTCCATATTATTCTATGTTAATCCCCCATAACTTCTAAGCCTAGCCTTCACTTTTTGAACTCCCATTTGTTCCATCTTGTATGGTAACTCTCCATCTTATCTTCATTCAAATGATAAAGTTCCTCCAATTTACATATTTGATCAACCCTATCCACCCAGTCCTTTATTTTCTGCACCTCCTGTCTCCTCCAATACTTGGCTATCAGTCCCTTTGCTGCATTCAAGTAGTAGAATAAACCAGATTCTTTGTATTTTTTAACTGAAAGCTTAGTACTATGAAAAAGGCAAATCTCTGGGTCTACTAGAATATCAACCTCTGTAATTTTCGGAATCAAGCTTACTATTTCCCCCCAATACTCTACCTCCACATCCATGCCAACATAAAGATGAATTATCTCCACTCAATCTATGTGCCACACTCGGTGTGATATACCATCTTGCAAACACTTATAATTAATTTCTACCTCCTGCATATTTATATTTCCATGGATTATTCTATACATTTTCCTCTGATTTTCCACATCTATTGTTACTCCTATTTCTCTTTCCCATTTTTTCTATATATGGAGGACTTATATCTGCATTTATTTCAGTGAGAATCTTATATATTTTAGAGGTTCTGTGTTTCGCATCTCCCAGTGTACCTAATAAGTGCTCAAAAGGATTCCAATCCTCTCTTATTCTTAAAGGCTTTGGAAGCTTTCCTATAAAGTGTTTCAAGTGAAAATAACGCCACTCATCCATTCTCGTAAAAACTTCTCCTTTTTCTTCCAATTCCTTAAGTGATCCTATTTCCTCCCCCACCATTATATCCCTTAATTGTGCGTCTTCCTTCTTAATCCACTTCCCTGTGATATCTTCTTTACCCGGGGGGAAAAACTCTGTGGAGTTTAACCTCCCTAGTGGTATTCCCGAGTGTAGCTCAGGGTAGAGTTTCAGTACCAAAAGCGGTAACCCCGAGCTACACTCGGGCTTACCATGCAGCGTTGCATAGGGAGTCCCTGCAGCGCTTACCTTGTCCTTCGCTCCCGCGATGCGTCCCCTGCAGCATCCCTGGCCATCTCCTCCGGCCGATGCCGGCATCCGGCTTCCGTGTTTCGGTCCCTGTGACCTTGGGACGTACGGGCGCCGGAACCGGCGGCAAATTGGAAATTTTTTTAAAAATCTCATTTTTTGAAAAATGATTATTACACAGTAAAACATTGCTGTTTCAAAACATTTCACATACATTTTGTCCCTACTTCTTTGTCCAGTCCCCTGCCTGCATTTTGACTGTTCTTTCTGCCTGGAAACTTAGAAAAGTCCATGGCGTCCAAAAAGCGTCCCTTTATGTCAAAAGCGGTTTTAGACCAGCTAGAGAACAGCGATAGTAAATCAGAACCACTTGCAGAATTGAGTGATAATGATTCGTGGGGGAAATTCGTCATCAGACACTGAAAACGATTCTGCGACTTTGCTCAGCGATGTGCGAACTTGCCGCTATATTTCAAATTTCAGTGTTTTTGGTTTGATTATATTATTGAATTACATTTTTTATTATTATTATTATTATTATTTTTTATGATTATTTAATAAAATTATAATTTATGATTTTGTGTTTCAAGTTTTATCATATCCGGTATGTTTACTAGACTCTTGTTCGGACAGATTTCAGGGAGTTTCTTCCTAAATTACAGGCCTACAATAAAAAAAAATACATATTTTCATGCAAAAAAATGGTACCGCTTTCAGCACCAAAAATCTGAAATAATCATACCGCTAGGGAGGTTAACAATGAATTAAATTCCCATCCCATCAGTTTGTGTAAAACATCCCAAACTCTTAAAACATTAAATTGTGAACAAACTTGTACTGTCTGCTAATCCTCTGTATTGTGGAGGTAACCATACAATTCCACTTAATTTAGTATTACTTAGTATATTTTCTATTTTAACCCAGCTTTTCCCCTCTGCATTATATGTCCAGTCAAAAATTCATTATTACCGAGTTATAATATTTTTTTAAATCAGGGACTCCCAATCCTCCTTTCTCTTTATTTCTACATAAAATTTCCTGGCTTATTCTCGGTTTTTTATTCTTCCAAATAAATCTTATTAACATTTTTTTAATTTATCTAAAGCAGGGGTGGACTGACAACTCACGGGGCCCCCGGGCAATAGGGATCATGGGGCCCCTGTGTCCTTGCCCAAACTCAAAAAAGCCTATGAAAAAGGTACCAGGGGCATCTCATGGGGCCCCCTACTGACCCCGGGCCCTCGGGCAGTGCCCGAGTTTCCAAATGGTCAGCCCGCCCCTGATCTAAAGTATACTTCTGGTAGTTTATTTGGTATCATTTGAAATTTATATCATATTTTTGGAACAATCACCATTTTTATCAAATTTATACGACCTATCCATGACAGTGAGTTTATATTTTTCTTTCCTCAGATGGTCCTGTCCCTCGCTGGTACAGGCCTCTTCTCCTGTGTGCTGGTTTTCAATCACATTCATTGGCCGGAGCAGTGTGATGTCACTCCTGTGCATGTGCAGGAGGCCATCATTCCAGCACACAGGTATTAAGCTGGCTGCTGTAAACTGAGCTGTGTATGAACAGCTCAGTTTCCATTCAGAGGGATGCTGCTGACAAGCAGATAAGTGTAGTTTATTGCAGAAGAGACATTGCAACAGATAACCTGCCTGCTCGCAGCAAACAGCAGAACTTTAGTTTTGCTTTAAGTCCTTGACTTACTTTGAGAGGTGTGAGGTATATTTGGGGTGTATGGTGAAAGGTGTGAGGTAAATTTAAGAAGTGCAATGAGAGAGGGGAGTTAAGTCTGTTCCGTGAAAGGTACATTTGGAGTGTGCAGTGACATATGTAAGGTAAATTTGGGGTATGAGTTAAATACGGGTTGTATGGTGAGAAGTGTGTAGTAAATTCGAGGTATATAATATGAGGTAAACCTGGGGTGTGGGAAATGTGCGGTAAATTTTGGATGTGCAGTAAAAGCTGTGATGTAAGTTTCAGATTCGCTATGAGAGAGCTGACTTAAGTCTGTAACTTAGTGTGGGATGAGTGAAGTAAATTTGGGGTGTGCGGTGAGCAATGTGAGGTAAATCTGGGAGAGAAGTAAATTTGGGGTGTGCAGTAACATATGTGACGTAAATGTGGGATATGGGGTATAAAGTAAATATGGCTTGTGCAGAGATAAGTGTGAGGTACATTTGGGGTGTGCAGTGAGAGGTGTGAGGCAAATGTGGGGTTTGCAGCAAGAGGAAAATGTTAGCTATGCAATATGAGTTAAACATGGGTGCACAGTGAAAGCTGTGAGGTAAATTTATGATCTGCAATGGGAGAGGCGAGTTAAGTCTGTATCTTAGCGTGGGAGGACTGAAGTAAAGTTGGGGTGTGCAGTGAGAGGGGTGAGGTAAATGGGAAGTGTGCAGTGGAGAGTGTGAGGTAAAATTGGGGTGTGCAGTGGGAGCTGGTTGGTAAATTTGGCGTGTGCAGTGAGAGGTGTGAGTTCAATTTGGGGAGTGCAGTGAGAGGGGTGAGGTAAATTTGAGGTGTGCAGTCAGAGGTGTGAGGCAAAATTGGGGTATGCAGGGGGAAGTAAATTTGGTGTGTGCAGTGAGTTAAACATGGGTGCACAGTGAAAGATGTGAGGTAAATTTATGATCTGCACTGGGAGAGGCGAGTTAAGTCTGTATCTTAGCGTAGGAGGACTGAAGTAAAGTTGGGGTGTGCAGTGAGAGGGGTAAGGTAAATTGTGAGGTGTGCAGTGGAGGGTGTGGGGTAAATTTGGGGTGTGCAGTGAGAGGTATGAGGTAAATTTTGGGTGTGCAGTGAGAGAGGTGAGCTAAATGTGAGGTGTGCAGTGGAGGGTGTGGGGTAAATATGGGGTGAGCAATGAGAGGGATGAGGTAAATTCAGGGTGTGCAGGGAGAGGTGGGAGGTAAATTTGAGGTGTACAATGAGAGGGGTGATGTAAATTTGGGGTGTGCAATGACAGGGGTAAGGTAAATTTAGGGTGTGCTGGGAGAGGTGGGAGGTAAATTTGGGGTGTGCAGTGAGAGGAATGATGTAAATTTGGGGTGTGAAATGTTATGGAGGGGTGAATCTCTGAAATGTACAGAGATGGGGGTAAATCTGGATTGTATAGAGAGAGGGGGCAGGTAAATGTGAGGTGTGTAGTGGAGGGTGTGGGGTACATTTGGGGTGTATGGTGATCGGACTGTGAAGTCACATATCTGAGTAGTGTGTGAAAGCAAAAGGCAGCCTATAAGAGTCAGAGGGACTCCATAAACATCCTGTCAGCCCATGCAGTATGGCTATGGATCCAGCCAGGATAAATGATAAATCAGCTGCTCACTACACCACCCAGCGGCCTAGGAAGCAGCACCGCCATGACACTTGGCTGCCCTCCAGAGTTCAGGGGAGCCTGGATTAGAATGCTGAGAAAAGAAACGTTTGGCATTTTTTGGAAGGTGAGAGAGTTCACAGAGTTCTAATGCTCTGCATTGTTTGCATAAACTGCATAAGAAAATATGGAGATTTTGGGTTATCGCACCTATTGGGACACGACCACTTTTCATAAGTCCCACCCAGTTTTTGGCACACTTCAGCATAAACTATTACCATTATCATAACCCCGTCCTGTACTGCTTATGTGCAGGTTTTCATTATTGTATAGAAATATTCCACCTATATTAGGATATCGCTCCCACATACCTCCCACCCATAGCCATACAAAATACGAAAAGTCATGGATCAGACTTCTCCAAACTGTACACTGATTTTAATAAATCAACTTCACTTAGGATAAAAAAACAGGAGTCAGGAACCAAATACACTATAATGCCATGCAGTCGACATTTGTGTCCGGTTAGCTTTAGCAGTGCCTTCATACCAAAGGTTAGGATTTACAAATCAGCTTCCTGCAGAAGAAATAAGGCTTTCACTGGTACAGAGGGAATGCTACATTATGTGTAATGGCTGGAATGCTACAGAAGAAGAACACTGGCCACTAATAGCCTTCTTTTACTGCAACAAGGTATTTTGTATTCTACATAGGGCATTGAAAAAAAAAAAGCAGGCAGAAAAAACAATGATTTACTTTGCATATTTATAGCAGTTTTGCGTTTTATAATTTCTGGACAAAAGTGCTTAAGGAGGTACTTGAAAAACTCCTTCCTCATCAGCAATAGAAATCAACCCCACAGCCATAGTAAGAGCAAGAGAAGCTGCACTTTTCAAAGGAATTTCCCCCAGAGCGCAGTGGAAATGGGGAAGTATTACTTCAAAGATTACCTAATAATATGCAAGGAAAATTAAAAAACAGTTTTTGTTTGCACATGATTGGTTGTTGGAAGTCAGCAGAGCGTCCCCTCATTCACTAAACTCAGGGAAAAATTCCATTGAAAGTGCAACTTCCCTTGCAAAGTAAACAGTCTATTTGCCTTTAGTAACTCAACCCCATTGCATCAGAAGCAACCACTCACATGTGAAGTACCCCAAAAAATGAAAAGCCCAGAGTATAAATTTTAAGGACATTAAAACAAGAAAGCTATATTCCATTCTACTGGCCAGGTATCGTCTGACCTCAAGATATGTGCAAATCCTGAGGAGAGGCAGT